ATATATATATATATATATATATATATATATATATATTGCTCCTTCAACATTTATTAAACTTTTGATTTTTTAGTGGAGAAAAATGTAAGATTGAGAAATTCAAGATTTCTTTTAGACAACATTGATTATTGATTTCACACTCACTTAGCCTATCTTGTTAAGGTCAATTGCGGTGCGATAGAAAAGGACGACTTCATCAGACTAAATTCTCACTAGCATTCATCCTGACTTGCAGAATCAGGACCCATTGGATTATGAATTAGTAACTAAATATCTGTAAAAGAACATAATACATTTCATTGCATAATTCACATATACTCGGTATGTATCCATAAACTTGTACAATCTCCCAAAACTATGAACTTTAAAAGGTACATGTCACACCTGATATTCACCCCGGTGCTTCTTACCTTTTTTTGAAGTCAATAACGTAAAGTGAGCTATAACAAACTTAACAAAATATTCAAGAATAAAATAAGATTTTATAGACTAAAAAGAAACAACGTACATGTTCATACGTAACTCATGTACATGTCAACGACAAATATCATATTATACTATAATTATATAAAACATGTAAAAGAAAATGCATGTAATGTAGAGAATCATGACTGTTATATAAAACATGTATTTTATCGATTCTTGTATAATCATAAACATAATCTTAAAGTCATCAGTCTAATCATAAAATTGTCTCTCGTAATTGTATAGGCCTCAATTTTTTTCATGTCATGTCATGAGTTGTCACCCAGTTTGAAGGCTACATCAATTATTGATAAAGATTGAGTCCCTCTCAACAGAGAAGCTATCAATGGCCTCGTGTTATCGTATCAACAGTTCCTTACATTTTGTCCCCATATGATCCTAACTTTCTTGTAGTTTCTTCTCTGTTTGAATATCTAAAGTCGGGAATCCCATCATTCTCTATCATCTGTATTTGCAGGTATTCATGTAATAAATTACTTATAACATCACTTATGACACTTTTTAAATCATAATTTTTTTAACAAGCATTATTCATAGACATTTCAAATGTCATATGCATGATTCATTATAATTGAATACCTGTAAGCAATGATTTCATAAACATGTTCATTACATTCATAACATAATAAAATCATAGGCATCGTAAATGGCAAATCAAGTTTTCATTCGCATTCATACAATTTTTGCAGGTTTTCATTCACAATATGCATGAAATTCTAGATGCAATAATGTTAAATACATAATCACATGAGAACCTATGCTAATTTTCTTAAGTTAACACATAATTATTTCACCAGAATTGACGGAACAACCCGACAATGAGTTTCTTCAAGCTCACCTTGAGGTCATCGTCTAACGCAAACAACCTGAAATTTATAATCCATTAAACATTCATGAAATTCATAATTAAGATATTAATTTAATTCTAAATATGATTTTCTTGCTTTAACTTATCTCAAAATGACTTCTTGACATAAATATGTCTTGCCAATACCTTCCTATTTGGTTCCCTCTTCTTCCTTTTCACCAACCCTTTCTCAACTCTTGAAATGGACTTTCCAAAGAGCTTAGCTCTTGGTTCAAAGATCCGTTGTTGCTCCCACAAAGCTACAACAACAGGGAACACGTGGAATGCTTGAATTTGTAGCAAATGTCAAAATGGAAACGTAAGGATGGAAAGGAATGTCTGAAATATCATAAAAGAGACCACAAATTGTGGGTTTCGACTCTTAGCCGAACAACTTGCACTTAATCCTGTTAAGCTATAGTGCAGGGTCACAAAACTCTCCAGACTCGCGAATCCGAAGTGTCGGGAGAGGGAATAAGGGGAATGCTAGATTTAAGTAGGTTCCACTTAATTACCCAATTGGTCAATCCATCAGACCGTCGCATGTGTAGTTAAGCGCAATGCAAGCGTCTGCTACTACAGAGATAATATAGATTAGGGTATTAATTTAGGATAATTAAACTTCATCATTTAATACCTTTTATACGTTAAAAATTCATGCTTGGTTCTAGTGCTATCTATCAAATTGATCGATTCGACATGCATAATTTATAAAATTAGTTCGATCGAATTTTGAGTGGAATGAAATTTGGGCTATCTTTTAAAATTTTCAAAACTTTACCCGTTTGAGTTTCTCAAAATTTGGTGTTATAGCTCTCTCCTCATAAAATTCCGTCCTCTAAATTTCTGAATTGTCTGAACATGAAGATATATTTTTGTTGTATTCTTTTTTCTCAAGTAGCTTCTTCTTTAGGCCAATATTTTCATTTTTTATTCACAAAAGAAATATGTCTATTGCTCAACTTTTTTAACATCAGTTTCTATAACTTTCTTATGCTCTTTAATGTAAGTTTAAATTTTCTTCACATCAATGTTTTATTGTGAAATCTACCGGTCTGCATTTGATAACCATTTCCTCAATATTGAGATGTGAGACACATTATGAATGTCCGACACATTAGCAGGTAAAACTTATTTGTAAGCTGAGACCAATTCTTTCTAAAATTTCAAAAGTACCGATATGTCTGAGACTCGACTTGGTTCCTAGACTAAATCCGACTGTACCTTTCATTGAGATGGCTTTTAAAAATACAAAATCGCAAACTTTAAATTCATCTAATTTGTTCTTTGGGTGATAATATTTATGTTGTCGGTCACATGCAATCTTCAATTTTTCTCAGATTAATTTGGTTTTCTCTGCGGCTTTATCAACAAACTTAGGGCCTAACATTTAACATTCACCCACTTCAACCCAACTTAATTGATTTCTGCATTTCCTTTCATAGAATACTTCATAAGTAGCTATTTTGATACTGGATTGATAGCTATTTTTGTAGGTGAATTCGACCTTCAGGATGTGATCTTCCCATTTGCTTCTAAAATCAAGGACATGACCTCAACAAATCTTCAAATACCTAATTTATCTTTTCTGATTCCATTGGTTTGTGGATGAAATGTTGTTCTAAGATGCACATGTGTATCTAAGCCATGTTGAATGTCTTTCTATA